GTTTGCAAGCAGTGGTCAGGCTATGTTTCTAGAGCTACCTACAGGCAGTAAGCATTCAAAGGCAGTACTTCTGTCATAGCTCTGTTGTGACCAGGAGTAGACCTGTGCATTGGATGATGAATACGTGGAATACTTAGCTCTGGCAGGAGATGAATTAGGAGGAGCTGTTCCTTCTCCTTTTAACACCTTCTCTGGCTCCAGTTGGACCCTCCAGCAGCAGAGGATCACACTGTCCAGGAAAATACTACACTTTGTGCTGAGTAGCCAGAAAATCACCATGGCACTGCCCTCACCAGAGCGGTATCTGATGTACATACTTTTGACACAATAAAGATTTCAGCACACAAAATCAGGGTGAAATACGTCTGGATATCTTTGTCTGCATTTAGTTTCAAATTGGATTTAAACTGAGTTTTTCTAGATTTTTTTTCTAAACTAGTTTATCCTCTCAAATGATTACTCTATTTCAGTTAAATCAGTGCACTTCACTTCTTTATCTGAAGTTTGGTTGTTACACCTGTCAGCTTCGGACACCTATACACTTGCATTTTCAAAACAAAGACTTTGTGTAAACTAGTCTTAAGCAATCTCAACTCCAAGAGCATGTGGTAGCTATTGTACAGCAGCTGGAAAAACAGGAGAGGATGCCATTTTCCTAGCAATGACAAGGAAGCTGAATTTTTCATGTGAATTAGCAGTTTAAGATAAAACCTCTAAGGAAGAGAAGATTTACTAAATTTTAAAAAACACAGTTGGTGTGCCTTTTCACTATTTTACCCTGTGCTAACTAACATAAGGTAAGACCACTGCTTATTTCTTTCCTCGTGAATGCAAGACTCAAGGAATTTATGTTTATTCCAGAAAAGATCCCTATAAAATGCATCTGTGAACTAACTTCATGGTTGACCACTCTGCTCAGAATTCATTATATGTTTTCTGTTAAGACAAAACTCTCTTGACACTGTAATTCTTTCTTCTTCCATTTTCAATCCACAGCTTGTGACTGAAACTACTTCCCACACCTTGCAGAAGGTGCGTAACTCCAGTTTTCCCACACATTCCACAGGCAAAGTCATTTTGGGCTCTCCAGACAAAAATCTGCAGAACAATTCAGAACAGGCAAGAAATAAATAGCCAGAAGAACACTGTACTCATAGTACTATTTATCATCAGAGTTAGCACAGTAAAAACCTTGGCTCTCAATTTACTCAAATTTATCACAGAGACCAGGCATAGGAATATCCTCCACTTTTTCTAAAACAGTATTTCTTAAACAACGAACTTTTTTTGCTCATATTTAATTCCTGGTTGGTAGTTAAAATGTTGCAAGGACAGCATAAGGTCAGTCTCTTAAAAACATGGATCACTTCACCTTTTTAAACACTGTTGAGGGTAGATGTAAGCCTATCGGGTCACATGCAGAGGGCCTATACTCCCATGTGAAGTGTTTCCTACTGGCTTCAGGCCTCTGGAGGCACCTCAGCAGCTTCTTGCCTCAGAGACCTCAGTGCTTTCATGCCATTCTCATGCTGCACAGCACTCAGAATAACACATCCCCTGAACCAGAGCACTCGGAATTGCAGTGTAGATGCAGACGCACAAAACCAGCCTCCATCCAAGGGGACAAGCGTTAACCTCTCTAGTGAATCCTGTTTTACCTGTTTCCTCTCACTTTCTGTCATAGCCCATCCTCCTATTAACCTAGATAATGGAAGATGATTATTCATTTGAATTTCAAGAGAATGAGTAGTGGGCTGTTAGCTCTAACTGCTGTACTCTAATAGGAATATACATGCATGCATACAATTATTGAACTGCTTTTAGAACAGAAAATTATTTCATTTTAACAGTAATATCTACTTATCCATGTACATCTTTTAATCAGATTTCTAAAATCCTGGAGTTTTCTTTTTTTCCTAGAGTGTGGCTGTTATTTATCAGTCTGTCTTCAGATTCATTATTTTCCTAGTGCTACCTCAAAATACAACAAAAAACAATCAGAACATACCATTTAACAAGCATTAGAAAATGGTAATGATGTTTACATTTAAGAAATCACGTCTGAGGAAAAACTGAAATGCTGCCAAGACACTTCAGAAAATGAGATATACCACAAAACCAGAAAAATGGTATTTATGAATGTTACATGACACCTATAGTATTAATACATGTCTTCACAGGGACATACATGAAGGAGAAGAAACAACCCAGAAGAAGTCTGGTGTAATGACAGTGGCTTCAATTTACACTAAAGCTTTATTAAAAATGATCTCTCCTGACCTTAATGTGTTAGATGTCAGGTTCTATCATCCTAGTGGATGGAATCCCAGTCTTATCAATATTGATTATATGGTTTCTATTGCAATTGAATGAAAGTTTTCCAAAACAGTTCATGGCTTTTGGAAAATGATGTTTCAAAAAAATAACAGTATTTTTTGAAAATTCATTGCTTTGATTAATTTCACAGGAAATAAAGATTCAATTTTCTCTTCATCAGCTTGAATTTTATGTGATTATATGACATAATGAAATCTCCCATAAAGCTGAAATACCAACAACAGATTAAAATATTTTGACACATTTCATTTTGCAAAACCACACCATTATTTCTTTCTGGATTCAAAATGCATGTAAAAACCTCAGACTCTCTCACAGGGTATCTGAATACTGGTATTTACAGGAGAAATACTAAGAAATAGGATTAACTGAGACAGTGGTATTCTGCTATCACTCCAGTAAGGGGTTCCAGCAGCAGCAAAGCTGCTTTCCCGGGAGGCAGTCAGGCACCTACGTACTCCTGAGACTCCTGTCCACATCGTCATTAAAGAAACATACTTTCACTCTTTCCAAAATCCTTGCGACACACACGGCTCTACAGTGTTATCAATTTGATTCAGTCCTCACCCGGATAGAGCGGAAAGTGCTAAACTCACAGCCCTCTTGGAAGGAATGCCCTGTCCTGCCAACAGCACTCCTTGGAGAGAACACAGCTGACCACAGCTGCGACAAGAACTCAGGCACTCCCTCACCAAGGTACTGCACACTCTCCTCATGTGGTTTCTCTAAATTTCAACATTTTATGATGGATCGAGAACCCTGCCAGTCAATTTTTTCATTTTATCTCGTGACTCTCAAAGGATAAGCATTACTATGGAGCTAGATTGTACCACGAGGTGCAATCACAAGGAGAGAGAGATGGCAACAAATCACTGCTGGGGGCACTCACGGACAGGCGGAGCAGTATTTTTCAAAATCTATCTTTACAATGAAGTAGATGAGCCTTCTTCAACTGTGCCCTTTTCCTTCCCGCTACGCTGTACACCCAGATGGGGTCAGGCAGGGGAAGTGACATGGCAATATGTATCTACCTCAAATGTATCCTTCAAACTCCTCCAGACTCCTGACAAGTGTAGCTGAGACCTCGTAGCCCAAAATATCCATAAGATAAAAGAGGTGTGTGACTGAGTTTTTTGTTTGTTTTGTTCCTGTAACAGCACGAGTCACTCTGCAGCTCTATGATATCATAGTCACATCATCCAGACACAGTGATTTTTCTGTGGTCTGAGAGAAATGAACCACTGTGATAATTAGAGGATGATTTACCAGGGGACCTCCTGGCCCTTTAGCACCAGTTCATAGGATGTGCTCTGGCAGAGGAGAGGTTGTGCCAGGGCTCATTCCTCTTGCTGCCATCATTTCTGTATCCATCTAGCCATCACAAAACTTATTAAACTTTTCTTTTTCTAATAACTGCAAGTGGTAGCTGGAAAGACACAAAGGGACCCACAAAACAGTATGGGAATCCATTTTCAGCCTACGTTTCGCAATAAAAATGACCACAGATGCGTAGTACACCACCAGCTTTGGATTCCATAAATTCTGCGATAAAAACAGATACGGGATTGTCCGGAATAGGTGGATCCGCTACGGGCGTCTTGAATATGTCTCGATGTTTCCGGGAACAAACAAACATATAAACAGAAAATGTTTGATGTTTTCTGCAAGTTTTCACCCCGTACTTTGGAAAAGCCGCTTTTATGATCTGCCCAGGGGATGCGGTAAGTGCCTGCAGGTGCGTGCGACGCTGTTCCCGTCGCTTCTGCAGGCAGCACCCGCGTTCCCCGGGGGACCGGTGGATCTGCCCCAGCCCCGCGCACCGTCCGCATCCGCGGCAACGGGAGTGCGTCCGGCTCTGCCCTGCGGCCCCACAGCCCCGTTCGCTACAGACGAGCCCCCGAGACAAGCCCCGGGAGGGCAGGAAGCCACAGCCGCCACCATGGCTGCGGAAGAGAAGCAGACCATGTGCGGGTCGTGGCCAGGGCCGCCCGGGCACCCGCGGCAGGGCCGGTCCCGGTCCCTGCGCTCCCCCCGCGGGCCAGTCGCGCCGCCGCCGCGGAGCTCCAGCGCCCCCTGCCGCACGCCGGCTGCGCCGCGCGGGGCTCCGCCGCCTCCAGGGGCAGCGGGACGCGGGGGGAATCGCCGCCACCCCGCGCCGTCCCGCGCCCGGCGGTGGGGCCCAGCGGACGGAGCCCCCGCGGCGATGCCGCCGACCCCCGGGCGGAGGGAAGGGAAGGGAAGGGAGGGAAGGCAGAGGACGGGACGGGCTCCCCGCAGCGCCGGCAGCGCCGCCCCCTCGGCCGCGCCCCCGCGCGGAGGTGTGTCGGCGCGCCGCGGGGTGGGCGTGGCGGGGGCGGTGCCGGGCGCCGCCATTGGCCGGCGGCGGGAGTGATGTCACCCATATGAGGCGCTGATAACGCGCGGCGCGCGGAGCCCGCGGTTCGGCGGGGCGGGCAGCGCGCGCGCGGCAGGGCGGGCGGCGGCGCGAGGCCGGGGCACGGGCACAGCGCGCGCCCAGCGCACGAGCCCAGCCGCGCCCGACCCGGCCCGGCCCGACCCGACCGCACCGCCCGGCGCGGGCACCGCCACAGCCCCGGCACCGCCACAGCCCCGGCACCGCCACAGCCCCGGCACCGCCACAGCCCCGCCGGCACCCACGGGAGCCGCCTCGCAGCGGGGGCAAGGTGCGGCGGTGGGAGGCGGCGGCGGAGCGGCTTTGTTGGCTCGGGGGGGAGCGGCGCCTCGGCGAGAGCCCACCATGGTGCAGCAGGCGGAGAGTACGGAGGCGGAAAGCAACCTGCCCCGAGAGGCGATGGACACTGAAGAGGGCGAGTTCATGGCTTGCAGCCCCGTTGCTCTGGACGAGAGCGACCCGGACTGGTGCAAAACGGCGTCGGGGCACATAAAGAGACCGATGAACGCGTTCATGGTGTGGTCTAAGATCGAGCGGAGAAAAATCATGGAGCAGTCCCCGGACATGCACAACGCCGAGATCTCCAAGAGGTTGGGCAAGCGGTGGAAAATGCTGAAGGACAGCGAGAAGATCCCTTTCATCCGGGAGGCAGAGAGGCTGCGGCTCAAGCACATGGCTGATTACCCCGACTACAAGTACCGGCCCAGGAAAAAGCCCAAAATGGACCCGTCGACCAAACCCAACGCCAGCCAAAGTCCCGAGAAAAACGCGCCCGCGAGCAGCGGCGGCAGTAAGAGCGCCAAGAGCTCCAGCAAGAAGTGCAGCAAGCTGAAAACCTCCTCCGGCTCTTCGCCCCCCAAGCCGGGAGCCAAAACCGCCCACCACGGGGACTACGCGGGAGACGAGTACGTCTTCGGCACCCTGAAAGTGAGCAGTAAGACGGTTAAGTGCGTCTTCATGGATGAGGATGAGGATGAGGACGAGGACGAGGACGAGCTGCAGCTGCGGATCAAGCAAGAGGCGGAGGAGGAGGACGAGGACGAGGAGCCGGGGCCGCAGCAGCTGCGGCGGTACAATGTGGCCAAAGTGCCGGCCAGCCCTACCTTGAGCTCCTCGGCGGAGTCCACCGAGGGGGCCAGCCTGTACGAGGAGGTGCGGGGCGGCGCCGCGGCTGCGGGCGGCGGCAGCAGACTCTACTACAGCTTCAAGAACATCACCAAGCAGGGCCCACCGCCGCCGCAGCAGCCGCCCGGCCTCTCCCCGGCCTCCTCCCGGTCCATCTCCACCTCGTCGGCCGGCAGCGAGGAGGCGGACGACTTGCTCTTCGACCTCAGCCTCAACTTCTCCCAGCACGGCCACGCCGCCGCCGAGCTGGGGGCGGGCGCCGCCGCCGGCAACCTTTCCCTCTCGCTGGTGGACAAGGACCTGGACTCCTTCAGCGAGGGCAGCCTCGGTTCCCACTTTGAGTTCCCCGACTACTGCACCCCGGAGCTGAGCGAGATGATCGCGGGCGACTGGCTGGAGGCGAACTTCTCCGACCTGGTGTTCACGTACTGAACCGGGGAGGCGGTGAGAGCGGCGGAGCTGGAGCGGCGCGACGCCGGCGATGATGATGATGATGATAATGATTGAAAAAAGTCTTGTTTTCTTTAAAAAAAATCTTGAAGTTAGTTCCGAGCCCGGGAGTTGTGATTTTTTTTTAATTTTTTTTATTATTATTATTTTTATTGCATTTGGTGATCACAACAACAACAGCAAAGGCAAATGGGACTGGGGGAAAAAAGATACAGAAGGCGCTGTTTGAAGCTTGTCGGTCTCTGATTGAAGTCTGGAAGATGGTCTGCAAAGAAGTCTTTTGGCAGCACAACTGTTACTCAAGGGGGTTTGTGGATTTTTTATTTTTTTTTTCCCGTGAGAGATCTTAAAGAACTGTTCTAATTTTTTTATTTTTTTTTTTCTGAAAGGGACCATTGCAACTCTTTTTGGAGGGAGAAAACTGATGTCTTCTATGCATCCGATTCTTAACAAAGCTGCAGGGAGCTTGAAAAAATGCAGACTGTACAAACGCTTACAAATAACTGAACTGACTTAAGATCAGAGTTTACTTTTCAGATCAAATTGTTTATGGTTTTACAAATGTGATTTCTACTTGCCAACTTTTTTTTTTGTAACTTGTTCCCTTATACCTCCTTGATTGAATACCAGACAGCCTAGACCTCAGTACAAAAAGGTATTGAAACATTTTTGATACATAACAGACCTCAGTCTTTTTTAAAAATTAATATATTTTCAGGCGTATTTTTGTACAGTGAAAAGGGAACATTCTTGCTGTGTTTTTTCAGTAAGACTTTTCAGGCACTTCTTCCCTTTTATTTTCTTTGTTTTTCTCTGTTTTTAGCATGCAAGTTTGTTGGTACGTTACGTCCTGGTTTTAAAAGGATTAAAATTTTAAAAAAGTAATCCTTGCATCTAAAGGCCTTGTGGTTTAAAAAAAAAAAAAACAAACACTTTTTTTGTACAGCTATAGTTCAGATTTGTTCAATATTTGTAGGTAAAGATTTATTGAAAATGGTGATATAGACCTCAGAGCTGTTATCTTAGTTTAAAAGATTGTATATGTACTGTACTATAGTAGGACTTTATGTATCTCATACGCTGTGATATGTGGATGGGGCCCCAGATGGAAGGTATGAAACTGGATTCTCGATTTTAGCAAAAAAAAAAAAAAAAAGAAAAAAGGCACATAGTTAAAAGAGTTTCTCATGTTGTGCAATATAATCTAAAGTACAGACCATCTGCATATTTTGTAGCAAATGATGGCAAAAGCAGACTTGTGCACTGTCAACATCATAGCCTGTTTTTTTTTTTTTTTTTTTTAATGCTGAAAGTCTGTATCTTGACAATTTTAATAAATCAGCTGGAACTGATAGAAACTCGTATCGCAATTAGTGTCTGTAGCAGTAACGCTGGAGATGCCGTATTGTCACCCCGTGCCCGCGGAGGAGCGGTAGCTGTAGGCTGTTGTGCGTGATCAGAGCTAGAGGGGAAGGAGAGTCAGGACTGCTTTTTTTCCTTTTCTCTCGTCGCCTGTTTCCCACCGGCTTTGCTCCACGGGGCCGCGGTTCGCTTGCTCGGGTCGCTCTGGGCGGCGGCAGGTCGGTTCGCCCCGGGTGTTTTCGGCTCTGCCGCCTTTTCCCCCCGCCAGCCGGCGGGGACCGAGCCCAGCTCCCGGGGCGGCCCCCGCAGCCGCTTTCCAGGGCGGGGGACTCCGGGCGGGGGGCGCGGCGGGGCCGGTGCCCGCTCCCACCGCCGCCGGGGGCGCGATGCCCCCCGTCCGCATGCTCCCGGTCCTCTCCCCTCTGCGGTTTTTCCTCTCCCGCTCCCGTTTTTGATGAGTAGCCTGGGCGAGACTCAAGGTGGAGGTGCTGGGGGGTAGGAGCGCATCTCCTCCAGCCCGGGCAGCGCTCGGCCCGCTGGGGCGGCCCCGGCCCCTCCGGAGAGCCACCCGCCACGCCGGGTGGGCAGGGCAGGGGATGGGGAGAGTACAAGCTTGGGCTGTAGGTGAGACAATTTTAATAAATCAGCTGGAACTGAGTAAAACTCGTATCGCCAATTAGTGTCTGTAGCAGTAACGCTGGAGATGCCGTATTGTCACCCCGTGCCCGCGGAGGAGCGGTAGCTGTAGGCTGTTGTGCATGATCAGAGCTAGAGGGGAAGGAGAGTCAGGACTGCTTTTTTTCCTTTTCTCTCGTCGCCTGTTTCCCACCGGCTTTGCTCCACGGGGCCGCGGTTCGCTTGCTCGGGTCGCTCTGGGCGGCGGCAGGTCGGTTCGCCCCGGGTGTTTTCGGCTCTGCCGCCTTTTCCCCCCGCCAGCCGGCGGGGACCGAGCCCAGCTCCCGGGGCGGCCCCCGCAGCCGCTTTCCAGGGCGGGGGGCGCGGCGGGGCCGGTGCCCGCTCCCACCGCCGCCGGGGGCGCGATGCCCCCCGTCCGCATGCTCCCGGTCCTCTCCCCTCTGCGGTTTTTCCTCTCCCGCTCCCGTTTTTGATGAGTAGCCTGGGCGAGACTCAAGGTGGAGGTGCTGGGGGGTAGGAGCGCATCTCCTCCAGCCCGGGCAGCGCTCGGCCCGCTGGGGCGGCCCCGGCCCCTCCGGAGAGCCACCCGCCACGCCGGGTGGGCAGGGCGCTGAAAGTCTGTATCTTGACAATTTTAATAAATCAGCTGGAACTGATAGAAACTCGTATCGCAATTAGTGTCTGTAGCAGTAACGCTGGAGATGCCGTATTGTCACCCCGTGCCCGCGGAGGAGCGGTAGCTGTAGGCTGTTGTGCATGATCAGAGCTAGAGGGGAAGGAGAGTCAGGACTGCTTTTTTTCCTTTTCTCTCGTCGCCTGTTTCCCACCGGCTTTGCTCCACGGGGCCGCGGTTCGCTTGCTCGGGTCGCTCTGGGCGGCGGCAGGTCGGTTCGCCCCGGGTGTTTTCGGCTCTGCCGCCTTTTCCCCCCGCCAGCCGGCGGGGACCGAGCCCAGCTCCCGGGGCGGCCCCCGCAGCCGCTTTCAGGGCAGGGACTCCGGGCGGGGCGCGGCGGGGCCGGTGCCCGCTCCCACCGCCGCCGGGGGCGCGATGCCCCCCGTCCGCATGCTCCCGGTCCTCTCCCCTCTGCGGTTTTTCCTCTCCCGCTCCCGTTTTTGATGAGTAGCCTGGGCGAGACTCAAGGTGGAGGTGCTGGGGGGTAGGAGCGCATCTCCTCCAGCCCGGGCAGCGCTCGGCCCGCTGGGGCGGCCCCGGCCCCTCCGGAGAGCCACCCGCCACGCCGGGTGGGCAGGGCAGGGGATGGGGAGAGTACAAGCTTGGGCTGTAGGTGAGCAGACTTTCTCAGTGTGCTTTTTTTGGTTGTTTTTTTTTTTTTGTTTTGTTTTTTGGGGTTTTTTTTGTACTTTAGGAGCCATCAGATTTCAGTTGTGCACTCTGAAATAGCTGCTGATGGCAATAAACAGATTCACGAAGGGGAAGTTTGTTTCTCAAGAAGTTTACTTTTTTTGTCTAATAGGCATTGGTAAATTATTACTTTTTTTTTTCTCCGCTAATTAAGTGATCCAGCTGTTTACAGGGACAATTCACTGTGCTGGTATTTTGGTGGCAACCACTGCTACAGGCTTTCAGACTTGCTGAAATGAAAATCCTGCATACACATTTGTAAGGCATAATAAAACATAACATTAAAACCTGCATGCATGTTATGTTTAATCAAAGACAACTCTTAGGCATTTAAGTGGTGAGATATCTTACTTTAGGTTAGTTAAACTGGTAGTAAAATGATTAATATAATCTGATCTCTTTCTAATAATAATAATAATAATAAAACACTCATGATTCTAAATAAAAGTTGTTTGGCCTAAATCTTTGCTATCAGAAAAGAGATATAGCATATCTGGGAACTCAAATTTATGTCTTGCATTGTGATAATTTTTTATGAGAAACTGTGTTTTAAAACCAACTTAATTACAATATACAAGATATCCTTGGCAATGGATAGTCCTCAATAAAACAGAGTTTCTTGAATTTTCAGTTTTTGGTCTCAAATGATTAGTGTGTTCTCCATGTGATAACTTAGAAATCAGATTGAAAACGAATGACATTTATCTCTTCTAAGGCAAAAGAGTGAAAGAAAATAGATACACTGAAGTGCTCTAGCCTAACCATTCACTATCCTGCTATCGAAAATCCGGTTTTGGGCTAGGGTGATGGATTAAGTTAATCAGGTTCTAAGTCTTAAAACTGAGCCAAAATTCTCTTAGTAATTCTTCAAGCTATCATGAGGGTGGGATGACTGGTACTTTCAGTCCCTTTCTTCTGATATGCATCCTTGTTTATTAAAGTAATAATAGGCAGTGTCATTAAACATTTGTGCTTTACAGATGTTCAATGAGTTATGAACTACTATGGTCAAATACAGGCTGCATTTAGTTTACATTGTAATAAGGTCTGTGTCTCAGCCTACAAAAGTTTTAACTTGCATATATTTTTGGAAACTGTTTTTAAAATTACCATTTAAAATATTAGTCAAGGATAACTGATTTAAAGGATCCAAGTATAGAGCAGTCAGGCATATTTTAAAAGAGCAACAGGTCTGCTTTATTCAAAGAATATAATGCCCACTCAAAAGTCTGAATTATACAGTACTATATCAGAGGAATATTTTGAGTGAGGGTATATGGTGCAGGGAAACAATTTTTTTCTGGCCAAACAGTTGAGTTGCTTTTATTTTAGAGTTTACTGTATCACATTGCTCAAGGAAAAATTAGGTAGTGTTCTGTTTAAGCCACTACATAGTTAGGGCTGCAGTTTGATGCTGTTGAATGCCTAAGCTCCTGCTGATCTCAGTGTGAGTAAAAAACAATCTTCTAATCATGAATGATAGCATCTGCTAAGCTACTGGATTTTTTTTTTTTTTGCTTTTGTCATAAGTAATAATATTTGTACCTCTGTTTCTCTTTTTAATTTTTAGTGTGCATAGGAATCTGTTGACATGCTAGAGCAGTCCTGTTGTAGGCCTTTTTCCCCACATTCCTTGCATTTGTTTCTGTACAGTACTACTCTACATGTAATAGGACTCAGTGATGGGAGGGAGAAAAATGAGCTTTTCTA